TCCTAAAGGGAGAATGAAAACAGAGCTATGCAAGAAAAAGAAACAAAAAGCGTCCATACTGAAATGGAAGAAGTAAAACTATCTCTATTTGTAGATGATGTGATCTTGCATATAGAAAATCCTAAGGAATTCACTAGAAAATTATGAGAAATGAACTCAACGGGGTGAAGGGTATAGATCAATATATCATCAATTGTATTTTTATATACTAGCAATGAACAATCCAAAAATGAGATTAAGAAAACAATATATCAAAAAAAAAATATTTAGGAATACATTTACAAAAGAAGTGTAATACTTGTACTCTGAAAAGTTCAAAACACCGTTGAAAAAAAATTTTTTTTAATTTTTTTAATGTTTTTATTTATTTTTGAAGGAGAGAGACAGACAGAGCATGAGCAGGGGAGGAGCAGAGAGAGAGGGAGACACAGAATTCGAAGCAGGCTCCAAGCTGTCAGCACAGAGCCCGATGTGGGGCTGGAACACACAAACTGTGAGATCATGACCTGAGCCAAAGCCAGACGCTCAACCAACTGAGCCACCCAGGCGCCCCTGTTGAAAAAAAAAATTTAAAGACCTAAGTAAATGGAAAAACATCTCATATTTATGAATCAGAAGACTTAATACTGCTAAGACTGCAATACCCTCCAAATTGATCTATAGATTGAACACAATCCCTATAAAAATTCCAGCTGCCTTTTTTCTGCAAAAATTGACAAGCTGATGTTAAAATCCATAGGGAAATACAAAGGACGCAGAATAATAAAAAAAAAAAATCTTGAAAAAGGAGAATGAAATTTGATGATTCATACTTCCCACTTTCAAAACTAACTAAAAAGGTATAGTAATCAAGATAGTGTGCTATTAGTGTAAGGAAACATATGGTTATGAATTTGATAAGGGAGTCAAGCAATTCAATGGGTAAAGAATACCTTTTCAAAAAATGATGCTAGGACAATTGGACATCCACATGCAAAAAGAAAACCAACTAAACTAAAAACCCTACCTCACACCATACACAAAAATTAATACTAAGTGGGCCAAACCTAAAAAATAAGAGCTAAAAATATAAAACCTTTAGAAGGAAACACAAAATCTTTATAATCTTGGATTAGGCAATGCTTTCTTAGATAAGATACAAAATGACAAGTGAAATAAATAAAAGTCCATCAAAATTAAAAATGTTTGCGCTTCAAAGGACACCATCAAGAAAGTAAAAAGACAACCCATATGATAGATCAAAATATTCACAAATCACATATCTAATAACTTGTATTTAGACTACATAAAAAACTCTTACAACTCGAGTGCCTGGGTGGCTCAGTCAGTTAAGCAGTTAAGCATTCCACCTTTGGCTCAGGTCATATCTTGTGGTTTGTGAGTTCAAGGCCCATGTTGGGCTCTGTGCTGACAGTTCAGAACCTGGAGCCTACTTCAGATCCTCTGTCTCCCTACTCTTGCTCCCCCCTCCACACTATTCCCCCTCCCCCACCGCTCTTGCTCTTTATCCCTCTCTCAAAAATAAACATTTTTTTTTTTAAAAAGAACTCTTACAATTCAATAATAGAAATAAGATGAACAAGCAAATTTAAAGGGAGGCGGGTAAAAACTCTAAAAAGACATTTCTTCAAAGTAGATACACAAATGTCAATAGCACATGAAATGATACTTAACATCAGTAGGTATCAGCGATATGCAAATCAAAACTTGCAGTGAGATACCACTTCACCACCCAGTAGGAGGACCTGAATCAAAGTGATAGTTAACAAGTGTTGACAAGGACTGGAGAAATCGGAACTCCTTTACACTGCTGGTGGGAGTGTAAAATGGTGCAGCTGCTCTGGAAAACAGTTCAGTGGTTCCTCAAAATGTTAAATACGTAGTTACTATATGGCCCAGCAATTCCACTTCTAGGTATAAACTCAAGAAAAATGAAAACCTAGGTCTACACAAAAACTTACAGACAAATGTTCATAGAAGCATTATTCATAACAAACAGTAGAAACAACCCAATGTCAATCAACTGATGAATGAATAAACAAAATGTAGTGTATCCATACAATGGAATATTATTTGTCAATAAAAAGGAAGTACCGATATGTGCTACAACTCAGATGAAACCTTGAAATGTTATGCTAAGTAAAAGAAGGCCAGCAACAAAAGACCACATATTACATGATTCCATCTATGTGTAATGTGCAGAATAGGCAAATTTGTAGAGAGTAGATTAGTGGTGGCTCAGGGTTGGAGAGGTTGTGGGGGAAATGGGCAGTGGCTAGTAACAGGTATGGAATTTCCTTCTCAGATAATGAAACTTGTAAAATTGATTGTGGTACTACTTGCACAACTCTGTAAGTATACTAAAACCCACTGGATTGTAAACTTTAAAATGGTAAATTGTAGTATGGGAATTATATGTTAATAAAGCCATTTAAAAAAGAGAATTATGAGGAAGGCACTCCCCACCCCACTGAGCGTATGCAGAGCTCTCTTGGGGTCATACCTGCAGAGACATCACATTATTGAGGCCATAACAGGAGAGCTGAATGCTGTGGTTTCCTTTTAATATATACAAAGACAGCAAAGATCATTAACCTTCCTCAGCTCATTGTTAAAAGTTCAAGGTTATCTATTCGTAAGTGAATTGTCTATTTTGCCTTAAGATGGCCTAGCTTATCAACACTATAGAAAAGTAGAACATATAAACATACAAATCATCAAACATACACATCATCTGTTTCAGATTTTAAAATAAACACTCAAGGAGCACTACTCTTGTAAACAAAATTTAAAAGCTGGCAAATAGTACATAAAATAATACCTAAAAAAGAACCATAAAACAATTTTGAATTCTAGGTAAAAATTATGCATGCTGAAGCAACTGGGGTGCAATGTATTGATACTTACAACATTTTGAAATGCATCAAAAAGCAATGTGGATTGATAAAGGGATAAATACATGGACATGTGATAAAACATATACAGCAAAATATTAACTATAGAATCTAGGTGGTGACTATATAGTTCTTTCAACCTATCTAAATGTTTCAAAATTTGCATTAAAATGGTGGGGGGGAAAAGTGTTAAAGAGGTGGTTGTTTAAGAAAGGAAAACCCCACTTCAACAAAACCTGCATCTCCTATTTTAATAGTTGAGGAAGGCAAATAAATGCATGCAACAAAGAAGGGGGTGGAGTTCTTTTATAATAAGCCTGGTCTAAATATTCATATATAAAGAAGAACAATTATATATGCCATATTTGAGGCTAGAAGAGTTAAAGGGGCCATGAGAAAGATTACAAATTTTTAAATGGTGCCATGATTCACAGAACCAGAGGAAGAAAAGCCCATCTAATGAGCTAATCTAGGCTTTTGAGCCCTGGCCTTCTTAAACATGGCTAAGGCTGAACATGACAAACTGATGGTAACTTAGGTCCCCACCTAGACCAGAAAGCATAAACATGCAAGGACTCTTGATTTTACTTTCTGTTGTCCTTAAAGGTGACTAGCTGGTTGAGAGCTCAGTGTAAGTGCTCCTAGTGTATGGATTTGGGCTGCCAGAGAAAACCCACTAGCTCCTTGAAGCTGAGTCACAGTTCTGTTCTCCTCTTTTGTTATTAAGGATAGGGTTTGACAGGGGCGCCTGGGTGGCTCTGTCGGTTAAGCGTCTGACTTTGGGTCAGGTCATGATCTCCTGGTTTGTGGGTTTGAGCTCCGTGTCAGGCTTTGTGCTGACAGCTCGGAGCCTGAGCCTGCTTTGGAATCTGTGTCTCCCTCTCTCTCTGCCCCCAACCCACTCGCATTCTGTCTCTGTCTCTCAAAAATAAATAAATATTTTTAAAAATTAAAAAAAAAAAAAAGGATAGGCTTAGGGGTTGTGGAAGGGGGGATGGGCTAATTGGGTAAGGGGCATTAAGGAATCTACTCCTGAAATCACTGTTGCACTATATGCTAATTTGGATGTAGATTAAATAAAATAAAATAAAATTTAAAAAAGGCTTTGACAAGAGTGTATTGGCTCAAGAGCTTGCCTCCTTCTTACACATATATGTCCTATCCACAGGTGAGCTCTCAAGAGGTGCCCGCTGAAGTGAAGGTAGGAGTTAAGGGTATGGCTGTTCTTTCTAGAGTTTTTTTCCCAAAGACTGCACAGGAGTTTGTTAGAACTATCCCAGTCTGGGAAGAGCCCTCGGTCATAGGCAAGCTTGAGGATCTGTAGTACTTGAAGGGCAAAAGGCTTCTTGTCAGACTGACTACAGGAAATGGGGTAGCCCTAGCATAATCATCTCTACCCCATTCCAAAGAGTATCTCTCTTTTCCACACTGATCCCTATTTCCCAAAGAAGCGCCTTCCAAATCAATTTCTAGAGCTAGAACTAGCCCATGATCTAAAGACAGGACTTCAACTCCCCACAGCCAAATTCCCCAACGGTTCAGATCTGGGGCTCCCTCCCTATCATGCCTCAGAGAGCTGCCTCCCACCCCCTACCCCAATCCTTCAGATCTGGACACCAGTTCATTCACACGGCCGTCACTGCCTGGCCTCAGTGTCAACAGCTCCAAGCACTGAGATATGAAGACCTTCACCTCTCCAAGAGGCACACCACCAACCCCTCAGACCTGAAGTTCCCCAAATCCTCAGAGCAGAACACTTCATCCCTCAAAACAGGAGCATTCTTCCAGTTCCTCAGAGCCAGCCCCTACATCCTACAAAGCTGGGGCCATAACTTACCCCACATCCCAGAGCTACGTCCCTAACCCCAAAGCTCTAATCCTCGACCGCAACGCCACCCTATCTGCTTTATTGTTTTTGGTGCCCCCGCCAGGGATGGCTCCATACCATAGTCGGGACTCCTGAGGCTGGCGGGCAGGCGCGTGACCTGGGCAATAACGGCCCGGAGGAGATCGGCCGCTCGCGCGGGGGGCGGGGCCTGGTAGGGGGCGGGGCCTGGCGCGCGCCAGCCCGTCTCGCGGGCGGAGACAGGTGAGAGGCGGACTGGGATGGCGGAGCAGTGGGATCTGGACGAGGAAGGCGTCCGCCGCCTGGGGGCGCTGACCCTGGAGCAGCCCGGTAGGGCCAGGCTGGGAGGGCTTGTGCCGGGAGTTTGGGGTCTGAGGCTGAGGGGAGAAAACTGAGGTGGAAGCTGGGAAACCTGAAGTGGACGCGGGGGAAGGGTGGCGAAGGAACGGTCCCTGAGGCGGACGAGAGGTTACTGAGGCAAAAGAGTTACACTAAGGTAGAGGTGAAGGAAGTAAATAACCTGAGTCTGGGGAGGAGGGCGAGAAATTGAAGGAGAGGAATGGAGTCTGAAGTGGAGAAGGAGAAACTAGATTAACGGGACATTGAGGCCAGGAACACAAAACTGGACAGAGTCTGAACTAGCGGAAGAAAACGGAGCCCCAAGAGGGGCATTGATGGGAAAAGGGACGCGCTGAGAAGCGACTTTGAGGTCGTGGTGCTCCTGAGGAGGCACGAAGGGAGTTCATTTTGGCATTTTCTGAAATTTCAGACCCAGGAGGGCTTTTCCTGTTTGGGGCAAAATGGAAAAGGGTGTTTCCTTCATCAACCCTTCTCTTCGTCCAGTCTCAGCCTCAAGAGCTTGGCCATTTCTTTAGTCCACCAGGATGCGTGGCACTCAGAAAGGGGCCTGTTGTGAAAGCAGTGGCAAGCCGCTCATCTTTCAGGGCGCTTATGGCAGTGCCCCAGCCTTGACTTCGTCCTGGAGGTGCAACTGGCTGAGTGACTGCAGACCCCACCTTTGACCTGGGGTCTAACTCACACAGATTGTTTTCTGAGTTTCTAGGAATAGAAATGTTGGGAAAGTTATCAGCATTCCTACTTCAACTTTTATTCCTACTAAATTTACTGTATCATTAACGCCAGGTCCTGAGTTAAACGCTTCCCCTCCCACCTCCTGCAATATTTAATCCCCATAACAAACCTATAAAGCAGATGCTGTTATTGTGCCTGTTTTACAGGTGGTTTAAAATTTAGGTTTAGACTTCTGCCCAAAGTTTCCCAGCCCAAAGTGACACAGCTGGGGTTTATTAACCCAGGACCCTTGAGTCCAGAGCCTGTGCTTTAACCATAACAAAAAGTTGCCCTTCTTGCTTCCTCTAGTACTTTTTATTTGTGGGGTATGACATAATTTGGTTTTATTTTATTTAAAACATATTAATTAGAGGCACCTGGGTGGCTCAGTGGGTTAAGCATGTGACTCTTGATTTCCTCCCAGGTTATGATCTCACCCTCATGAGATCAGCCCTCGCAGAGCACCACCTCCCCCCACCAACGCCAGGGGTGGAAGCTGCTTAAGATTTTCTCCCTCTCCCTCTGCCCCTTCTCTGCTTATGCTGTCTCTCTTTCAAAAAATTTTTTTATTATTTAAAATTTATAAAAATTAGGGCATGCTAGTAACAAACATTACATGAGTGAACAAAGAGGGTATTAATCTTTCCTTCCTCTGGAAATCCCTCCACCCCAGCCAAAGGTAACTGTTTGGTGTGTGTATAAATAGACTCATGCAGATGTTTCAGGTTTGGCTTTTCTTTTCCAAACTACTTTGAACTCCCCTATTTTACAAGTTAGGTAAGAAAAGCTTTATTGGTTTGATATGCTTCTGTATTTTTCTTGCCTTTAAAAAAAATATATTGATTCGGTTTTATTTGGTGGAGGGGCATGTACTTACATTCTCTAGCTAGAACAATATATGGCAGATTTTTAGTTATTTTGTTTTTGTTTGTTTCCTAGTTTTATTACAATCATTTGAATAACAAAATTGTGCTCATTCTGATAATTCAAACAATGCAAAAGTATCTAAAGTGAAAGAATATTATTCCCTCTCCCTCTTTCCATACCTCTTCCAATATTTATAGAAACGTATACATATAGGCATCTTTTTTTTTTTTTTTAAGGAATAAGAGCATCTATATTCTTTGGAAATTTGCTTTTTAAAAAACCTATCAACAAAACAGACATTTTTCAATTAAATTAATGTGTTGGTATATGCATTATAAAATTATGTGAGAAATCACAGTGGTCATCTTTGGAGAGAAAGGCTTTTACTTTTATTCTGTACTTTTCTGTACTGTTGGAATTTTCTGGCCACTCTTTCTTTTTAATGTCCAAAGGGATAATCTTGTGGTGCAGTTACAGATTGTGTTGTATGTTTGTTTTTTGGTATATTTCTCTGTCCTAAAAAAATTCCCATAAATGTTTAAGTTATCCTTTGTCATGCAGAAAGTTTCCATCTTAAGGTAATCAAGTTTATTTTTCCTTATGATTTGTGATTTTTGTGTCTTATTTATGAAGTTTTTCCCTACACTGATGAATAATTTTTTTTTCTAAAAATTCTGCAGCTTTGCTCTTCACATTAAGTCTAATCTACCTAGAATTTATTTTTATATATGAGGTGTGACTTGGTATAATTGTATTTTTTTTAATACTGATAGCCAGTTTCTCTGGAACCTATTTATAGTATCTCTGCTGTATTCCAAGTTCCTTTGTAAACATGGGTCTATTTCTAGGCTCTCTGTTCTGTTCCGCTGTTCTGTTTGTCTATTTCTACACCAATATCACCCTTTTGTAACTATCATGGCTTAGCAGTAGGTTTTGATTACACTTTACTTTCCTCTTTTCTCCTTCAAAGTCATGTAGGTTATTCTTGGTCCTTTATTCTCATTTAGAATTTTAGAATCAGCTTGTCAGTTTTCATGAAAACATTTTAAGCAGGGGTGTGTCCTGATCTAATACTTATTTTTAAAATATGACTCTCACCCATTAGAAGCCTGTTACAGTCGTCCAGATAAGAGATAATGAATAGCTTGGACTGGGAGGATGACAATGGAGATAAAAAGAAATGGACAGAGTCAAGGTGTGTTTTGTGGGTAGACCGGACAGGATTTACAAAAAAAATTGAATATGGAACACAAGGAAAGGGAAGATTCAAAAGTAACACTTAGCCTTGGCTTAAGTTATTGCTACATGGATGATGGTGCTATTTAGAGAGATCTCCCTAGAGAGCAAAGACTATGGGAAAGATTGGTTTGGGGAAGGGGAATCAAGAGTGCTGTTTTAAACATGTTAAGCTTAAAATACCAACTAGACATTCAAATGTGAGAATTTTAGTAGGCAATTGGATATACAAGTCTGGATCTCAGAGGAGAGAAGTCGGGGTTAGAGATGTAAATTTGGGGAGACATTAGCAAATAAATAAGTGGTATTTAAAGCAATGGGACTGGATGAACTCACCTAACTAGAGAATATGGATGGAGAACAGAAGAAGGTTTAAGACTCGTTTTGGGGCATTTCAGTGTTTAGAGGTTGAATAGAGAGGGAAGAACATGGTGTCTTGGAATTTAAGAAATGATAGTACACCAAGGAAGTAATAGCTGTGCCAAATGCTACTGACAAGCTAAGAAAGCAGAGAAGTATCCGTTAGATTTGGCAACATGGAATTCATTGGTCACTTTAAGGGGGTTTCTGGAGAATGGGGAGGAAGGCCAGCCTGGGTTGGTATGAACAGGGAATGATAGGGGTGCCTAAGTGGCTCAGTCAGTTGAGCGTCCAACTCTTGATTTAGGTTCAGGTTATGATCTGATCGAGCCCTGAGTTCATGGGATCGAGCCCTGAGTAGGGCTCTTCGCTGCTTGGGATTCTTTCTCTCCCTCTCTCTCTCTCTGCCCCTCCCCCTTTGTTCTCTTTGTCTCTCTCAAAATAAATAAGCTTTAAAAAAAAAAGGGGAATGATATGTGAGGGAGAAGAGAGAGTGAAGGTAAGAACCTTTCCTGAGAAATTTGGTTATAAAAGAGGACACAAAAGTAGAATATTAGTTGAGGGATATGATGTGGGATCAAGAACAAGTCTTTTAAAGGCACAATATACTAGAACATATTTGTATGCTGCTAATAATTATTTCGTAAAGAGAGAAAATATATAATTATATACTTTTTTGGCTTTAAAAAATAATTCCATTAATTTAGTATATAGGTAATATATTGTTTTAAGTTTATTCATTTTCGAGAGAGAGAGAGATGGGTAGGGGCAGAGAGAGAGAGAGAGAGAGAGAGAGAGAGAGAGAGAGAGAGAGAAAGAATCCCAAGAGAAAGAATCTGACGGTGCAGAGCCTGACTAGGGTTGTGATCCCACAAACCATGAGATCATGACCTGAGCCAAAATCAAGAGTTGGACGCTTAACTGACTGAGCCACACAGGCACCCCACCTCACTCCTATTTCTGCCCACCCCTAAGTCTGTCTTCTACATGGATGATGAACAGACTGAACTTCTAAGACATAGACATGATTAAGAGCTCCTTTCTTTCTTTTTACTATTATCTTTTTCAGAATGTCCTGTAGTTGTAGTCATTTATGTGTAATTTCTGACAACCAGTAATCTTTTAAAAATTTTTTTTGAAAAATTTTATTTATTTTTTTAAGCTTATTTATTATTTGAGAAACAGATCATGTGTGTTAGTGGGAGAGGGGCAGAGAGAGAGAGACAGAGACAGACAGAATTCCACTACCAGTGTGGAGCCCAACGTGGGGCTCAAACCCACAAACCTTGGGACCATAACCTGAGCCAAAATCAAAAGTCGGACACTCAACCAACTGATTAAAAGTCTTTTAATTGAGATAATTGACATATACCATTATAAACTAGTCACCTTTTTCAGAATGTTATATAGTTGGAATCATACAAGTAACCTTTTCAGACTGGCTTCTTTCACTTAGCAATATGTATTTAAGGTACTTTCATGTATTTACATGGCTCAATGGATAGCTCATTTCTTTTTATTGCTGAATAATATTCCACTGTGTGGAGGTACCATAGTTTGTTTATCCATTTACTTAATGAAGGACTTCTTGGTCACTTCTAAGTTTGGGCAGTTATAAATAAAGCTACTATAAACATTCAGGTTTATGGATTTAAGCCTCTATGTATAGGTGCTATAAACATAGAGGGGTCTGTGTGGACATAAACTTTCAAGTCACTTGAGCAAGTATCAAGGCACATGATTGCTAGATCATTGGGTAAGCTGTGTTTTGCTTTATCAGACACTGCCAAGCTGTC